TCAAGATATCTAATAATAGATGGAGAATCAAAACCAACATAAATTCCAAGTCTACATTGAGGACTCATTTTAGTACGTTGGAGTGGTGCAATTGGAACATATACAACACAACCAAAAACTCGTATGTAGGAGATATTCGGTTGTTGACCAAAAATAAGTTGCAATGGTGAGTACTTATGATAAGCAGTTGGTCGTATACGAACTAATGATGCAGCATGTAATATGGTATGACCCTAGGCAAAAACAGGTAATTTTGTTCGCATAAGTAAAGGACGACCAATTAGCTGAAGTCTTTTAATAAAAGATTCAGTCATACTATTTTGTTTATGAGTGTGTGCAACATGATGTTCAACATTAATTCCAACTGACATGCAATAATCATCAAAAGCTTGAGAAGAAAATTCAGCGGCATTATCAAAACGAATTGTCTTAATTGGGTAATCAGGAAAATGTGCCCGTAATTTGATAATTTGAGCAAGGAGTTTAGCAAATGCAATATTACAGGTAGAAAGAAGACAAATATGTGACCATCGTGTTGATGTATCAATTAAGACCATAAAAATAACGAAATGGTCCAAAGGGTGGATAAATTGGCCCACATATATCCCCATGAATTCGTTGTAAAAATTGAGGAGACTCAACAATGACTTTTGAAGGGGATGGTCTGATAATCAACTTACCTTGTGAGTAGGCGGTGCATAGATGATTATTTAGTAAGATGATTTTCTGATCCTTTAGTGGGTGACCATGTGAATTTTCAATAATTCGATGCATCATTGTACTCCCTGGGTGACCAAGTCGATCATGCCAAAGCATAAAAAGTTTTGGGTCACAAGATTTTTTATGGATCACAACATTTGACTCAATTGTTCTAATGGTTGTATAGTATAATCTAGAAGAGAAAACAGGGAGTTTTTCTAATATCAGCTTCTTGCCTGAAGTAATGGAAGTAATGTAGAGATATTCCACATTTCTTTCATTTGCAGTCTCAATATGATACCCATTACGACGAAAGTCTTTAAAACTCAACAAATTTCTCCGAGATCTTGTAGAATATAAGGCATCATTGATTTGTAATCTTGTTCCATGTGGTAAAATGATGTTGGCTCGTCCAGAGCCTTCAATCAAGTCGGTGGGACCTGATATGGTACTGACACTGGCATCTGACAGAATTAAGTGGGAAAAATATTTTTGATCTCGAAGGATTGTATGTGTTATTCCACTATCTGCAAGACATATGTCTTCTCTATTTATATTTGAACTAGTCAGATACATTCCTATTCATGTAAATTTCTTTATTAGAAAAGAAACTTTTATAACAAAATAAACTTTAATACAAACTAGAGGATAAAAACTTTAATACAAGGAAAATATAAGGAAAATAAAAACATAGTAGACAGAATATGAAAAGAAAATAAGATTAATTGGTGTGGATATTTCCATCACCAATCAGGAAGTTTATCCTTTCATCACGGTCCTCAAAAAAATCTAAAATATCCAGATTTGTGATGTTAACTGGCTCATCATGATTAATGAAATTCATTTCCAGATTTGTGGTGTCAACTGGCTCATCATGATCAAGGAAATTCATTTCCTTTTGTTTTCCCTTTTTTTTCATTGAGGCTTGGTAAAGTTTAGCCAGATGCTCAGGTGTACGATATATACTTTGCCAATGCCCTGTCATGCCACACCGATAACAAGTATTATCGTGTGCCTTGGAAGGTTGAGCCACATTCTTCCCTTTTACTTGTCTCATTTCATTATGATCTTTCCTTTGAGGATACGGTGTGGATCTCTGTTTGCGAAAATGTGAGGATTGATATCCTTCACGATAATAATAATGATTTCTACCACGACCATATTCATTATTGTGGTAGTTGTTTTTGCCACGACCATATTCATTTCTACCACCACGACCACGTCCATGTCCGCGTCCACGACCATGGGATGAGGCAACATATGTTTCAGGGATCGGTGTTGATCAAGTTGGACGGGACTGGTGGTTTCTCAATAAAAGTTCATTATTTTGCTCTGCCACAAGCAAACATGATATCAGCTCTGAATATTTTTTAAATCTATGCTCTCGATATTATTGTTGCAAGAGTACATTCGAGGCGTGAAATGTGGTGAATGTTTTCTCTAGCAAAAGTTCATCAGTAACAGTATCACCACATAATCTCAATGTAGAGCTGATTTTGAATAGAGTAGAGTTATATTCAGCCACAGTTTTAAAATCTTGCAACCTCAGTTGCAGCCAATCAGCCCTGGCCTTTGGGAGGATGACTGTTTTTTGATGATCATATCTTTCTTTCAAATTATTCCACAAACAAAGTGGATCTCTTTCAGTGAAATATTCAGTTTTCAGTTCCTCACTAATATGGCGCTGGAGAAAAATCACGGCCTTTGCTTTATCTTATAATGATGCCTCATTGTTTTCTTTAATTGTGTCACCAAAGCTCATGGCATCCAAATGGATCTGAGCATCCAGAATCCAAGATAAATAATTTTTGCCAGAAATATCCAGGGCCACGAATTCCAGCTTTGTCAAATTTGACATTTTCAAAATAACTAGATGTGATAACAATATAAAAATATAATTTAGCATATAAATAAAATGGAATTAAAATGAAATAATAACATAATATAAATTATTTAAACAACAATAATGGTCAATCCGGTCATTATAAATAAATTATTAAACAATAAAGGCGGTAAAATCAGCCATACAATATTAAATAATAAAGGTGGTAAGACCGACCATAATTAGTAAATTATTAAATAATAAAAGTGGTAGAACCGACCATAGTGTAAGCATATATATCATTCAAGTGAACAACTTTATTTTACTAACAATAATCCATAATTAAAATTTCTTTACCCTTTGGAGTCAGAAATATTATTTTTTAGAAGATGAAGCAAACCAACCCACCAATCTATCAAAACTAATATCACAAAATAGATATATAGTTGGGAAAGAAATAGGGAGAAAAAGATTTCTTCTTCAACTCTCAGATGGATAGCTCGTGCTGATAACGTGTAATAAATATGTGTGAGAGTGTATATATATATATAGAGAGAGAGAGAGAAAGAAAAAGAGAGGGAGAGAGAATGACGAAAAGAGAGAAAGAGATTGCAGAATGCTTTTTATTCATAAACACACCCCCACGCTGTACATATGTATGCCATATATATAGGTGTTGCACTTGGCTTCCCAAAGAAGCCACAAATGAAAACTTCCCATGTAAGCTATATATGATGATGTCATGGATGACATACATATATTGTGGGCCCCACTTCCATTATATATATATACATAACAAGTCGGTTGTATTGAGTGCCTTTTAACTCATGGTGGCTTGCTTGGTATCTTATATGGTGGAGTCCACTCATGTCTATGTGTACCCTCATTTTTGCAATGAATAAAACATAACTCTTTCACCATGAGCTCTCCGTTTTAACTAATAAATTAAAGGGTAAAGTACACTAATACCTCCTGATGTTTATTAAAAGGACACACAGATGAAACTTAGCCTATTTTGGGACAATGAAACCCCCTTCCTGAAATTCCAACCAAACAAGGCCCTAAATATTCTAAAAAGACGAAATTACCCCTTAATATTAAAATCAGATTTATTATAAACTATCAGATATAGTTAAAAGACTAAATTGCCCTCACAGCCACAAATTGACTCATCTCCCCTGATCTCCTCGCCCACCTTTTGTCGGTCTGGCTGCATGTAGCTTGTGGCTACGTAGGAGCACGTCGGAAAAAGAGCTTCACTGCCCTTGAAAGGTCAAATCATTAAGTTCAATACACGCCGCATCTTAAGACCATGAAGCATATGCTCCCAATTTTCATTCTCGAAAGGTTCAATCTAATGTCAATTTGACAGAGTATTCCCTGCATCATGGGTAATACAACTCTGCATTTTTCATCCAATTTATGGTCTTTTTCTTTAAGTATGAGTATGATCCAATTTCAATCTTACTGCAAAAGGATGATTAGATAAGGATGATGGATATATATATATATATGTATGTATTTGTATATACAGATACATACATATCTTAATTGTTTGAGGTGCCTCGGAATTAATAGATTGAAATTTCTGGAATATTTTGGCTTTGGCTAAGTCAATGGCTACATGACTTTTCTACTTGATCAATTAATAATAAATATATAGAAATTTCTCGAATATTTCCTCTCAACCTTCACGCATATACATATATATATATGGGCAAAGAAGAAAACGAACCTGAGAAAGACGGCAAAGAAAAATCAAAGGATAAACAAACTCTTCCAATTTATGTCACCGCCGCATGTGTGAATACATATGTATGTATGTATCTGTGTATATATATGTGTGTGTATATTATATAAAAAAAATTAAAAAGAAATTGGAAGGATGAAGGAAGAGAAATGGAGAGAGGAGAGAAGGAAAGAAATGGGTTAGTAAGATTAGAAAGGTAATTTCAATTTTTAAATAGGTCAATATAAAAGTCAAAGGGTAAAAATGTCAATTCATTACCATTGGGGTGTCTTTGGTAACTATATGAAACTTGAGGGGGTGTTATTGTCCCAAAATATGCTAAGTTTCATCTGTGTGTTCTTTTAACAAACCTCAAGGGGTGTTAGTGTACTTTATCCTAAATTAAAAAACGTATTAAATGAGTGATTTTTTTAGATCTCAAAAAAGTGTATCAGACCTTCAAAACTCTTATCATGAAAGAACCCTCGTTACTCTTATAAAAATGTAATATAATTCTCAGGAATATTTAGTATGTCATATTGGGAGAATGAACAAGTAAAAACTCCCAATTTATGTGATATTTTATTATTATTCTTTTTGGAGTGAATCATAATGGTAAATTAGAGTATGGCCTATTGATAACCCTTTTTTAATGATTCGTTGATTTATACTGATGAATTTGTTATACCTGTGATTTGTATTCTGTGATTTGTATTTATTAAAAAGGCACTCCTATTCTACAAAACAAAAATAATTGTTCCAATTCAATAAAAAAAAAAATAGATATTTTTATGAGAGGAGTGAGCCTTTTGGGACTGAGAAAAGCGCGGGAAAGAAATCCCCGTGAAAAAAATCCTTGGCGATTCTCTCTCCGTCTCGTTTGGTGTGCGCATAAAGTTAAAGTAGCAGAGGTTGTGCATCACTTTCTTAATCTCCTTCGCCCAGCTCTCTCCGTTCCTTGGCCGATCAGTGATCGGTGGGTCAGGAGGTACGACTACGAGACCGGCTATATATCTTCTTCTACCATATCCTGATAATACGCTCGTTGCCACAGTGGGATATGCCCATCAAAACCCACATGTCACACCTAAAATTTTTCCAGGGTAACACATTCTCTCTCTATATCAGGATTGTCATCTTGGTTCTCCTCTGTTTTTCATATTCCCGTTTGGTTGCAAAGAAAATGTAGGGAAATCAAATAACACAACTTTGCATTTATATTTTGTTTGTTGTTCTATATTTTTGAAGAGCTTAAACCCCTCTACTTCACCAAGTCGAATTGTTCTGTGAGTTTCAGTTGGTGTGAACACACGGCACACAGACCTCATTCAAGTTTACTTCTTTATGCTCTCATGGTCACTAACTGTTTGACAAATTGACCCAAATAAGAGGATTGTGGTTTTAATGAAATTGGTTGTGTTAATATCTGTCTCAGACTAAACTTTTTGGGGTTGTAGTGTGGCTGTACAATGATGTACATTTGTATTTCTGCTTATTGATGTCATAAAAGGTTTGTAATGCCGTGAAAGCTATTTATTTTTGTGTTTATTTGTTTACTGTTGAAGCAATTCTCTTTGGTGGATCCCCCTCTCTCTTATAAGCCCAAGGTAGAGCGCGCGCACACACACACACACACTAGCTTTAAACCACATAGGAATTGTGTCACTTGTGTGTGTATCTCCTATTACAGTTGTTTTGGTTGATAGTTCCCGATCTACTTTAATTGTTTTGGTATTGCAGGCATAAATGGTTGAATGGTGTATTAATTTGCTTGCTTTGTTGAATCATTTCAAGTGTTTCCTACTAAACGACGCTAATTGTGTCTGTTTGTTGGTTTAGAATACGTAATTTCTTCAATTATGAGAAGTTTATTCCTAATGTATGAATGACGTGCCTTCAGATTGTTGGGAAAATGCTATTATTTGACTCCGGTATGCTTAATATCTCAAAAGTTGTTATCTAGACCAATTATTTTGCTGTTATGGTATAAATTGCAAAATTAATTGAACGGTATTCTAATTAATTGATTTAGAAATTGATTGTGTAGGGTTTGAATTCTTGGAATTTGCATTTAGATCACTTTTTGGAATTATTTGTGGTTGACAACACATATCACTGTTAAGACAGTTAGCTAGATCTCAGGATTAATGATCAAACTGCATACTGAACTGTAGTGAGCCTTGAATAATTTAGACAAATTAGGTTCTCTAAAAGAACATAAGAAAGAAATGCAACAATTTGAAATAAGAAAAAGGAAATCCAGAGGCACTACTACTGATACTATTTATCCAGCAAAAGTGAAAAAATTAACCATTAAATGGCATGGAATATGAGATGCTATAAAGAAATAAAATAGCTCACTGAAACAACAGCATGCCAATTGAAGTGGGTCCTTAGCTCAGTGGTAGAGCATTTGACTGCAGATCAAGAGGTCACTGGTTCGAACCCGGTAGGGCCCTCAATTTGATTTATTTATTTTTAACTTAAATTTTATTTTATTTTAAATGAAATTACGAATGACTTACCCCCCCCCCCCCCCCCCCCAAAAAAAAAAAAAAGAGCATGACAATTGATGCACTTTGTTATTTGATTTTTATCTCATAACATGTTTTATACATTTGCTGTTATTATATGTATACATGCTGATTTGGTTCTTCAGAAAGTGATCATTATGCTTCTGATATATATATATATATATATATATTTTTTTTTTTCCCGGTAAGTAAACAATTAAATTGGTTGAATATTTACTAAAGTTCTAGTAGAGTTTAGAGAGAAATACTTTAAATCTGTTGACACTTGTGCAGTAACCACAGGCCACAGGCTGACTGAGAGCGCACACTGCCACTCTCCTGAAGGTGTAAATGACGAGGATTGGAAGATGTGTGATAGGTGGACATCGCAGAAGTTCAGCATTTCGAAGAGAGGTTATTACATCGCAATAGTGTCCCTAGCCATGATGAACTAAATTTATTGGTGCCTCTCTCAATTTTGATATGATCAAAATGTTTTTCATTTTTTTTACTTATTTTTCTTGAATTATGGACAAATGGAAGTATAACTCCTAAAGAAAACACTTCATGAAGCCTCCCGGAATTTGATTGATTGATTTATTCCTTGTTTACGTACGGAAGAAGAAAACTTAGATTTAGAGGACAATCAACACAAGGTCACTTTACCCACTTCTACTTTCATGATAAATTGGCTAAACTAAGGGGAAAAAAATTAGGTGGACATCGCAGTAGTTTATACTTAAGTTCTTTACTACTTGCTTTTGAAGATATAATAGCAACTAAGTTCTTTTTCTACTTACAAACATAGAATGATATATTGATTCATTGCTTGGGTTTTTGCTGCAGCCAAAGGAAGAAGAAAGTCAGGAGAAAGGTGATCATGAGGGGGCAGGTCATTCCATTCCCCTATACGAGCAAACACATTACAAGGTAGGGTCTGGATGGACACATGAGGGTGCTCGGGCATTATATGTATGTTATGAAAATCAATTAAGAAAATTTGTTTTGGGGTTAATTGGAAATGGCGTTGTTTTGCACATTTGTGTTATTGGTAGGATTGTTGAATTTGGATGTGGCTAGTGTGAACTTAGAAATTTGATACATGAGTTCTGCAAATGGTTCTCGAGTTGGTACTATTGTTGCTCCTGAAATTCTTTCAAGTTGGTTTTGCTAGCTTTTATTGTGGGCAAATGCTGGTTGATTATCATCTAAGTATTTAACTGGAAAACTGTATATAAGCTATATATTAAATAATATTTTTTATCAGGTGGTAGTCTGATTGGATTTCGAATTCAATTGGATTTCATTACCCTGTTGGGATTGTTTAATTCCCTCTTCTCAATTTCGATCTGATTGCTTTTGATATGAAAGGGACATGCAGTTTTTGAATAGTAAGTATTTTTTCCCCTACTGTTCCGAAGAATTTACATTAGGAAGCACTTTATGTGACCATAATCCATTTTGTATTTTAGCTAGATGTCTTAACTGATTGTAGTTGATGTAGGAGGAAATGCTGGCTAAGTCATCACAGGCATCTGTCAATCCTGATGCTCACAGTCCAGCCACACCGATGAGGAAGCAGTGCATGACACTCCCGGTATGAAGAGAAAACGTTGCTCGTGGATTTGGATGTGGAGAAAGGGCTGCAAGTTCATCTTCAAGTCGTTTGTCCACAGATGTTGTGATGGAGGCTGACAGGAAGAGGGCTGAAATAGCTGAGCAGCGACATGAGGAGATGCAGAAGTGAAGCAAATCTCAAGAATGAAAGAGTCAATAAATGAAATGAACCCAAAGATGGGGGAGCATTCTTGAAAGGAAAATGATTTTAAAGCCGAGGAGTTGGGCGGAATTCCTTAACCGAATGCTTTTAATGATTGAAATAAATCCAAGGCTGGCATACGCCGCGTACTCCCAGTTTGGCTCCCAGCAGCGGCCACCAACAGAATAATGACTTTTATCTCTTGTGATTCTCTTTGAAATGCAGTTAACACAATTGTTTAACTATTTTGTTGATCAGAATTCTTTTTTGTTGGCCATGTTGTAAATCTTGAGTTCAAATATGCTTGTTTGTCTGTCTTTGGGCTACTTTTTAAAACCATATTCATAAAATTGAACCAAATAAGTCTTATATCTTTCTTATTACTTCTCTAATAAGTTTGAGTTCCATGAATAAAATATAACACATTCAGGCTCTGTTTGGCAAATATTTTTTGTTTTGTGTTTTTTTCGTTGCGAATGGTGTCCGGCGACAAAGCAAAATACGAAAACGTGTTTTGATAACTTTTGCTGAACATGTGTTTGATAACTTTTGTTCTGATTTGAATAGTACCATGTGATGCCAAAATCGAAAATATAAAATTAGTGTTTTCGGTTGTTTCGGCACTGTAGTAATAACACTAGCGATTATTGAAGATCTTTTTAGCTAGTCTTTTATTTTTCATATTTTTTACTTTCAAAAATATTGTAACAAATTTTATGTTACTGAGACATTTCGGTTTGCCAAACAGACGCTGTTTGTTTTTGGTTTTATCGAAAGAAAAGAAGAGATGGAAAAGAAAACATATTTTTTGAGATCTCATGTTTGAGTACTAAACGTTCTGGTTGGAACAAATGCATTTAGGAAAAGGAAAGAGGAAACTGATTGACAGGTAAAATAAAATACCCCTGATTTGACTTTAAATTTTATTTCCTAATCAAATGAGGGGACAAAAGTTCCTTAATTTAGCAATGTTATTTTTAACTTTTTACTTGTCATAATATATAAATATTATTTGAAAAAATACAGAGAGGAAGAAAACAAAAAGAACTAGTCATGTGTGATTGGATACAGACATTACTACATATTTAACGTCACCACTCACTTCTAGTATATTTGGGATTTGGATTTGGATTTGGATTTGTAAAAAGAAAACTAAGTTTGGAATCATTTGGGTTTGAAAAAGAAATCAGAATTAAATTGGATGGTATATTTGGAACAAATTGGATTTGAAAGGAAAGGAAATAAATTCCCTTTTAGTTAGCAACTTATGATGTGGAATGAAAATAATATTATAACATTTCTAGTGGAATTCCGTCAAAGAGTTGGAGAATGGAAAAAATTGAAATTTGGAATGAAAATAATATTTATTTATTTTTGTGTGCGTCCATTTTGTTCATATCTTTATCAAAATTGAATAGATGCATAATTTGTACAAAGTTGGGTTGCTATAATCCTTTTGATTTGTATAATTGGATTTTACTTTAAAAAAGTAAAAGTAATATAAGAATCTAAATATATATATTGTAAGACAGCTAGAGAGATATAACTAATATACAGTACTATTTTTATCAAAATCTATGCATAAACATATCTTATTTTAGAAAGTAAAAAGTTGTATGAAATTTCATATATTTTTCTCATGAAGGCAATTTTTGTGTGCTTTTGGTGGGAAAAATTTGTTAGAAAGTTAGCGGTCATCTTTTCATACAGGAAAATAGTATTTTTCTGTGAAGGGAGTGCCTATTGTGAAGGGAGTGCCTATTTTGCCCATTAACTTAATCGCGCAAAACAACTTATTTTTTAATTTTCTTACTGATTTCAAAGAAGCAAGTTCTCTTGAAAACAACTATATATTTCTTTGGCAATAACATACAATCAAATCTCTCTTAATAATTAGGATTAATTACAACGACACCCCTGACAACCCTATGCAACTTAACTGTTTTTTGGACAAAGACACCCCCCAAGGTTTGCAAACTTGAACAATGACACCCCATTTTAAAAAAACGGAGCCAAACAGAGCCTTAAGTGGCATTAAATATTTAATATGCCCTAACATATTTTTTAATCCTCACCTAAAATGACCAAACTACCATCTCATCTCATCTCTCTTTCTCTCTCTCACAAACTGCTCCATCGCCTTCCTCTTCTTCCACACCCTCAAACCCCCAATCCGTAAATCAAGCCCAATTTTCTCTCTATATATGTGTGTGTGTGTTTGTGAAAGAGAGGGAAGAAGGGCAATTTATTTGTGTATATATGTATCTATATGTGCGTGTGTGTGTGTGCAAGAGAGGGAAGAATCAATTTCAATTCTTTGTGTATATGTATATATGTGTGTGTATGCAAGAAAGTGAAAAAGCAAAATTTTGGGGTGGTTGTAGCCCTAGTTGTGGGTAGTGGTGGTGACGAGTAATGGTGGTAAGAGGTGGAACACTTTGACGAGATGGTGGCTGTGGTAGTGGGTCCAGAGAGATGGTGGCGGTGGCGGCACCGTGGTTGATAAGAGATAGTGGCGGTACCATGGTTGATAAGAGACGATGCGAGTCGAAGGCAGTGGTGAGTAGGTGAAATTGAAGGCAGTGGTGAGAGTGGTGGTGGGTGAAATCGAGGGCAGTGGTGAGTGGTGGTGGGTGAAATCGAAGGGGTGTGTTTTTGCTTGGGTTGTTTTCATTTAGGTGGCCGGCGGAGGTTGGGGAATTGGGTGTGGTGGCGTCGATGAGGGTGGCGGCGGCTGGTGTAATTGGCTGGATAGAATCAGCGGCAGTTGGCTCAGTTGACTTCGGAATGGCAGTGACCGGCGCGGCTGACTGATAGCGGCGGTGACAAGCACTGACTCGTTCGAGTTGTACTCGGTGGTGGCAGAGCTCGGATGCGGTAAGCGAGGTTGACCTCGGATGGTGGAGAGCTATGTGGTGATAGCGGTGACGGACCGATGAGCTTAGAACAGAGGACTCGGCCGTGATGAGGTCGAGCTCGGCCGTGGAGACTCGGCGGCGAGCTTGCGGTGGCTTAGATGGACAGCTTGGATGGTGGTGAGGACGGGCTCGTGGTGGGTGGCGGGCTCGTTCGGCTGGGCGATAGAAGCGAATAGCTCGGCGGTGGCGATGGCAGTAAGCAGACGGTGGAGGAATGGACTGTGGTTATGGATGGCTCGGATGAGGGTGATGGCGGGACGGTGATGGGTCGATAGCTGGCTTGTGGCGGCTTGATGGATGGCGGGGAAGAAGGGCTCACATGGAATGAATGGGAAGATAAAAAATTGGAAGAAGGTAAACATATACTTTCATCATGTTTGGGGTGTCATTGTTCAAATTTGCAAACCTTGGGGTGTCTTTGTCCAAAAAATGACTAAGTTGTATATATCTATCAATATGGTAAACCTCAAGGTGTGTTATTGTAATTAACCCTAATAATTAGTATTGTTTTTTTTTTTTTTAAAAAAAAAAAAAAATTTCATTTCTCTTAAATGAATAATTAGTTATACTCCTACCTTAAAAAAATATTATGAAATCTTATTTTAAATATAAATAAAATATAAATAATTATATAATTAAATTTTAATCCATCATTTTCCTACTTATTTCTTTGCTAAAAATAAACATCGTCAAATACAAACTCATTTATTTTTAGTATTTGAAATAATAAGGGTAATTTTAGTATGTTTAATCACTTTCTTTTCACTTTCATACTATTCAAAATAACAAATTAATATTTTCCTACAATTTTCTTGAATTAATTTTCATGCTAACCAAATGTATGCTAAAAACTAACTTTTCTTTTATTTTCCATTTCTCTACTTTTCTTACTTATTTTCATCTAACCAAATGGTTGCCTTAAAAAGTCTAATTTATTTATTTATTTTTTTAATCTAACCAAATTAAGCAGAAAGTAATATTTTTCTTTTATTAACTTAAAATCAAAAGTAGTTGAATTCCCCATGCCCGTTTGCCTTTTAAGAAAATTTTAGAAATTTGAAACAAATAAATGAAGATGTTAAACCACATTGAATTTAATATTATTAAGATTTGCTTATCACATTGTTTATACTTGTATAATGTTATTCTCATGTATTAATAATAAATTTAATAAATGTTAAATAAATTACTCAATTAAAAAATTATTTTTCTTTCATTCACTTCACTTTTCACTTTTTAGTATTAATGTCTATTGAATCAAACCTAATCTCAATTTTCTTTGAATTTGTCAACACTATAATATTTGTTGAAATTTATCAAATCCCATTCCTTTTAAAATTCCACTTATTCCAAACATCTTAAAATCCCTTTCCAAATTGAATTTTATAATTCCATGAGTAAAAACCATGACTAGCCCAAAGACAAGGGGTTTAATTACAAATAGAGAAAATATATAGTCTGAGTAAAGCCACAAAAAATCACAATATTAGTTAAGAAAGGAAAGTGAATGGGTAAAAACCAAGAATAGACCAAATAAGAGGGGTTTAATTATAAATAGAGAAAAAGTTGATGTAAAGCCACAAAAAATCACAATACTAGTTAAGAAAGGAAAGCGAAAATAAGTAAAAATCAAGAATAGTCCAAAGACAAGGGGTGTAACGACCCAACCCGGGGGTTCGGATCGCTAATTGGGTCTTTAACCAAACCCGAGGACACACTAGGGGTAAAATGGTCATTTTTCATTGTGAGAGGCTAATAAGACCTCAAACTAGTCTAATGAGGTCTAAAACAATTATTCTAGTCATTTCATGATGTTCGGTGAAGTTCTACGGTCATCGGATATGAATTTCCAAAAGTGCCCTTTCCCGGTTCAAAAGGAATCCCGACGCTGTCTCACTAAAATAACCATAACTCTCAACATAAATGGAATTTTAGGATGAGGTTAGTCTTATTGGAAAGCTAACTCAAAATCCTTGAACATGGGCTCAAGAATGACCCTATTTGGGTTCCGAACGAAGAAGTTATGACTGTCCGAATTTAAGCATTCCAAACTGACATCTGGAGAAGGCAAAATGACACACTAGAGGACTTGAACTGATTCAAGAATCTTGCACCAGTTCAAGATGGGTAGTATGCCTATATGTGAACCAAATGCACCCCTTGAACCGGTTCAATGGGGCTGAACCGGTTCAAGATGGCCAGAACCTTAAAATCAGCCCCAAAAAGCTTGAAAATGAACCCTTGTGCCTATAGGCACCCATTTGGTCCCTTGGCGACCTTACTCAAAGCCCAAACCTGTCCCAAATCTTTAATTCTATGATAAACTAACACAATTACGTAATAATAAGATCAAATAAGGCCATATATAAGTCTAATATACCATTAAAATTAAGCGAAAGCGTCATGCATAAAAAATATGGCCTTAAGGCCTT